CGCCAGTGCTCTGGGTTTGGGAGAGGCGGGCTAGGCCCCAAGAGGGCAGCCTGTGCTGTTGGGCCAATTTTCAATCCCTTTGGGAGGAGACTCCCCCCCCCACCTCTTATTTTTGGTTTTGATGGCAGTAGCAGCCCTTGGTATATGACACCCCAGGAGGAAACTGGATGACTCCCCAGGTCTCATTTCTGTTGGAATAGCTTCATGCTGCTGTGTACTTGCTCAGCCCTTTTACAGGTTTTGCTATGGATGGCCTCGGAGTAGCCTCTTCCCAGAGCTGCCCTCTGCCTGGTGCTGCCCGGCTCTCCCTGAGTCCTCAGGAATAAGCTCTCCCCAAGCTGGGTCTGTGTGACCTTTAGTGCTGGAGGTGACTGATCTTCTCTTCCAGGTGTTAAAGGATGCCTCTTGCCTCCAGATGTTTTCATCTCATCCACCTAGTCCCATTCCTTGCTCCCAAACATTGTCCTGGGTGAGAGCGGGAGCCAGCGCCCCACTTCCCTTCAGCTCAGAGCTGAGAAACCACACACCACTGACATGATTAGGAGCCCAGCGTCCAGGCTGGGATCTGGAGTCACATGAGAGGCAGGTGAGAATGATACAAAAGTTAACCGAGAACAGGATAAGCGGCTTCAGTTTACAGAAGGGTCAGTAGGCCCAGAGTTTGGCGTGCTGGAGCTCAACGCAGCTGGCGGACAGCACAGCCAAGACTGGAAATAAGCCCTGTGACTTTATTTTTTAAAATTTGCTATGGAGGACCAGGAGGTGGCGTGGTGGTTAAGGCGCTGCACGCCCACATGGCTGACCGTGGTTCAAGTCCTGGATTTGGTGGTTTGCTTTCTTTGCTTTCCTTTTCTCTCTCACTGGTCAAATTTAAAAAGTAATATTAATAACAAATGGATATAAATGAGTAATTTTTCAGGAAGTGCAGGGGGATGGGGTGGAGGTGACGCGAATTTGTCCGCGTTGGAGGGGCCCGTCTGCTGCTATAGTGGCCGCGGCTGCCGCATGACATGGCATAGCTGGAGCTTTAACACCGGAGCTGGAGCTGCAGCGCCAGTTGGCAACCAGGTCTCACCCGCAGGTCTTGTCACACGCCAGCTAGACAGCAGTCACTGCTACGCTTTTCTTTATTTTT